ACCCCTTCTCTATTCCCACTGACCCCCCTCTCTCTCTCTCCATTCCCACTGACCTCTCTCTCTCTCCATTCACACTAACCCCTCTCTCTCTCTCTCCATTCCCACTGACACCTCTCCCTCTCTCTCTCTCCATTTCTACTGACCCCTCTCTCTCTCTCTCCATTCCCACTGACCCCACTCTCTCTCTCCATTCCCAGTGAACCCCCTCTCTCTCTCTCCATTCCGATGACACCCCTCTTTCTCTCTCCATTCCCACTGATCCTTCTCTCTCTCTCTCCCCATTCCCACTGACCACCGTCCCCTCTCCATTCCCACTGACCTCTCTCTCTCTCCATTCCCACTGACCCTTCTCTCTCCCTCCATTCCCACCCTCCTATCTCTCTCTCTCTGTTCCCACCAACCTCTCTCTCTCTCCAGCCTATCTGTCCTCTCTCTCTCTCTATTCTCACTGACCTCTCTTTCTCTCTTTCTACTCTCACTGACCTCTCTCTCTCTCTCTATTCTCACTGACCTCTCTCTCTCTTTCTATTCTCACTGACCTCTCTCTCTCCATTCTCGCTGACCTCTCACTCCATTCTCACAGACCTCTCCTTCCATTCTCACTGACCTCTCCCTCTCCATTCTCACCGACCTCTCTCTTTGTCTCTCTCTCCATTCCCACGGGCCTCTTTCTAGTATTCCCAACAGTCACTGTCCTGCAAAAACACAACAAATAGGAGCAGAAATGGGCCATTCAGCCCATCTAGCCTGCTCTGCTATTTAATGTGGCCCTCAATTCCTTCACTTAGAACACTTATGTCTAGTTGGATGTGGTGATGGTCTGCTGCCTTAATGTCTGCTTATTTTGTGAACTTAGCCAGATTGTTGGGATTGAGTGAAAGAGAGAGGTTTTATGTAGCGTGTTAAAGGAGCAAGCATCTTCAAGAGGGGCAGAGGGGTAAAGAGAGGATTCCACAGCTCGGGGCTCAGGCAGAGAGTTGGGCTCCTTTATGTGACTGGTTCATGTCCCAGGGCTCACTGCCTAAGCATACTGGGTAGGCCGTACGGGATTGAGATGAGGAGAATTTCCCAGAGAGTGATGAGCCTGTGGAACTCACTGCCACAGATAGCGGTTGAGACCAAAACATTGAATGTTTCCAAGAACGAGCTGAATAAATAGTTCTTAGGACTAAAGAGACCAAAGGGTCAGGGGGAGAAAGTGGGAACAGGCAATGATCAGCCGTGATCATACCAAATGGTAGAGCTGTCTCTGAGGCCTAGTCCTGTTCTTATTTTCAATGTTTCTATGGGACTGGACCCTTCTGGCTTGGAGTGAACCAGACGGAGGCAGAGTCTGTGTGGATGATCCCAGTGTTTTGACACCCATGACGACAAAATGAAGAGGGCAACCCAGGATAATGACTGGAACAAGACCATGACCTGAACTAATATAACAACCAGTTACCCAGAAGAGCCTCAGAAGGATTCTGGGTAATCCAAGATGGAGGATGTGAAAATACTGTAGCTGTAAGACCTATTCCTTTTTTGAGGTATTTTCGGTGTTGGAGCTGATTCCATCGAATTCTGGGAGCAGTAATTACCGATGTTGTAGACTTGCTCACCGAGTTAGTGGGTTTGTTTGCAAACGTTTCGTCACCCTGCTAGGTAACAGCATCAGTGCGCCTCTGATGAAGAGTTGGTGTTCTGTCCCACTTGTTATTTATATGCCCAGCAAACCGAGGATGTCAACAACCTCATCCACAACGCAAGCTACAAATCTTCTCAAAAACTTTAAGCAGTGGTTACTGTTTTATAAGCTGTTGCATTGTTTTGGAACTTGGAGGAACAAAAAGATCAAAATAACAGCACTTTAAAAAGGAGGACGACAGACAACATTTAAAAGGCATCTGGATGGGTGCATGAATAGGAAGGGTTTTGAGGGATATGGGCTAAACGCTGGCAAATGGGACTAGATTAATTTAGGATATCTGGTCAGCATGGACTGGTTGGACCGAAGGATCTGTTTCTGTGCTGTACAGCTCTATGACTGAGCCTCACCAGCCACTTTCAGACTCATCGATGACCATCCCCCTTTGCCTGAGAGGATAAACCAATGGAATAATATTCCCCTTTTCCAGTGTCTGAGATTCTCTTGTAAATGCTTGCATTGAAAGATTCCATACGCCTGAAATAACACCCTCTGCATGTTTCTGGTATGACATTCCTCCACTTAAACGAACTAAAGGAAGCAATCGCTCCATATTTACCATTAGAAATCCCTTTGAAAGTTTGAACACTTTTGTTTGCTTCTGCTAGACCTCTTGCTCCCTGTGAATACAGCCCGGGTTTTAGAGGTAAATACAAGTAAACCTGTTCACTCTACAATGAAAGTTTTTCTCTCCTGCCTGCACTGCATTGGCTTACTAATACTGGATATCTCTGTCTCTTTATTCCATTGACAATCTTCACATTTCAGATATCACCAGATAACATAAATGTGGGAGAAGCAGCAAACTAAGTGCTGAAAGTCCTATTAGTGCAGTTCAATTCATTTCCCATGTACAAGAACATCACCCGCCCAGATCGCTGACTGTATAATGGGGTTAACTTCGGTTTGCTGCAAAATTAAAATCAGCAAAAGGATATGAATGTACTAAAATTTTAATAGCTATCCTTCTAACGTGATGAAAAGGCGTCAGCAGGTACAATGCAGGCGTGGCACTGAAACGGAAAATGGTCTTCCCTTTGTTGATGACTATAAATGTCTGAAAGAGATAGAGATCAGAGTGAAGAAGTGGCAGAGTCATGAGCACGGTACACACAGAGTTAAAACTGACAGTAGCTTTACCAATTTCCCCAGTAGCTCTGTGATGTGACATTCTGTGACAATGTGTTACTGCGATAGTGTGCGACATTGATATCCCGTGACATTGCTTCACACTCTGACATTGTGCAATTCTTACATTCATCAATTCGCAGAATGCTTAGAGTGTACAGAGAGATCATTCAGCCCAATAATGTCATACCAGACTTTCTACAAGAGCGGTTACAGTAGTCCCCGCACACCCCTATAATCGGCCCAACAGAAACCACAAGAAGACCGTAACATATAGGAGCAGAATTAAACCACTCAGCCCATCAAGACTGCTACACCATTCAATCATGGCTGATATGTTTCTCAACCCTATTCTCCTGCCTTCTCCCCATAACCCTTGATCCTCTTACTAATTGAGAACCTGTCTATCCCTGTCTTAAATACACTCAATGACTTGGCCTCCACAGCCCTCTGCAGATTAACCACCCTTTGCCTGAAGAAATTCCTCCTCATCACAGTTCTAAAGGATCATCTCCTCACTCTGAGGCTGTGCCCTTAGCTCCTAGACTCTCCTACTAGGAAAAACATCTTCTCCACATCCACTCTCTCCAGGCCCCTCAGTATTCTGTAAGTTTCAATCAGCTGCTCTGTCATCCTGCTAAACTCAAGTGACAACCCCTTCGTCCCAGGATCATTTTTCTAAACTTCCTCTGGACCCCCTCCAACATCAGCACATCCTTCCTTAGATATGGGGCCCAAAACTGCTCACAATACTCCAAATGCAGTCTGACCAGAGCCTTATACAGCCTCAGCAGGACATCTCTGTTCTTTTATTCTCACCCTCTTGAAATGAATGCTAATTTTGCACTTGCCTTCCAAACCACCAACCGAACACGCATGTTAAACTGAAGAGAATCCTGAACTAGGACTCCTAGGATTGTTTGTGCTTCAGCTTTTCCAAGCCTTTCCACATTTAAAAGATAGTCTACACCTCTATTCTTCCTACCAAAGTGCATAACCTCACATTTTCCCAAGTTGTATTCCATCTGCCACTTTCTTGCCCACCCTCCTAGCCTGTCCAAGTCCTTCTGCAGCCTCCCCACTTCCACAACACCATCTGTCCTCCCACCTATTTTGTGTCATCTGCAAACTTAGCGAAAATGACCTCAGTTCCTTCATCCAGATCGTGTAAGTTGTTGTCATCCCAACAGGGACCCCTGTGGAACTCCACTTGTCATTGGCTGCCATCCTGACAAAGACCTCTTTATCCCCACTCTCTGCCCTCTGCCAGCCAGCCAATCCTCTATCCATGCCAGTACCTTGCCCCTAAAACCATGGGCTCTTACATTATTCAGCAGCTTCATGTGCGGCACCTAGTCAAAGGGCTTCCAGGAATCCAAATAGATCATGTCCACTGGCTCTCCTTTGTCTAACTTGCTCATTACCGCCTCAAAGAATTCTAACAGCTTTGTCAGGCATGGTCTCCCCTTGACGAAGCTGTGCTGACTCAGCCTATTTTACCATGCATTTCCAAGTACTCTGCAATCTCATCCTTGATACTGGACTCTAAAATCCTACCAATGAATGAGGTCAGGCTAACCGGCTTATAGTTTCCTGTCTTCTGCCTCCCTCCCTTCTTAAACAGAGGTGTTACATTAGCCATTTTCCAGTTCTCTGACTCCAGAGATTCCTGATGATTCCACAATCTCCTCAGCTATCTCCTTTGGTGCCATACCTGATTGTGCCCTGGTCACAAATCAGACCCCAGCCAATGAGATCAAGTTGATCAAAGCTGTTCATGGTGTGATGGGTCAGGAATGGAAACCAAAACAGATCACGCTGTGCTCATTTCAGCTTTAGCACAGACCAAACTAACACTCCCTTCACTGGATCTGTTTCCAAAACCAACTGATGACTTTGCTCAAATTGGGTTGCAATTGGTGGGTATGTTTTGCGCTGACGGTGAGGTTACAGGGACCATTTCACATTGTTCCTTATGAGCATCAGTGAAAGGAGGCCTGCACTCTAAGCCGAGTGCAGTACAGTACAGTGATTATTTTAATGTGTTGGTAATGCAAAGCCCTGGGCTATCAATGCATGGAACCTGAATTCAAATCACACCATGAATGTTTTGAGAATTTAAATCCCATTTCTAAAAAATCTGGAAATAATAAGGTCATGTCGCATCGTCATGTAAACCCAACAAAATCATCCTTTATCCAGCCTGCTTTCCTGCCCAATCTGGTCTACATGTGACTCCAGGCCCATGCCAATGTGGTTGGCACATTCTTAAATGCCCTCTAAAGTCACCTGATAAGCCAGATTTCTGCATTGAATCTGGACCATGGTGAGCCCCTCCTGCACCTCACTGAATCCAGGTCCCATTCATATGATTCAGTCTCCATCCTGAGACTGTTTGCAATGAACCTTAATTTCCAGCAGACAGAAGGAGCTAGTTTGTAACTGATAGTGTGTCACTTAATGTTGATGGTTGGCATATGAGGAACAGCATCGTCATTCCAGAACATTCTTGAACAACATGGTCTCTTTCCTTCAGAAGGGTCTGGCATACCATTGGATAGAACTGTGCAAGTTCTCACTATGATCTGTTCTTTATTGCCCTGTGTGTGAATGGGCAAGGGGCATTATTGAAGCCCACAGGTTCTCTCTCCAATAAAGATGATTTTTTTAAATTCATTCACCTGATGAGGGCATCACTGGCTAGGCCAGTGCTGTGGGTCTGGAGTGATATGTAGGCCAGACCAGATAAGAATGGCAGATTTCCTTGCCTAAAGGGCATTAGGGAACCAAAGGGGCTGACAATGGCTGTGTATTAGACTCCTAATTCCAGACTTTTGATTGAATTCAATTTCCACCATCTGCCTGGGTGGGATTTGAACTCAGGTCCCCAGAACATCACTTGGGTCTCTGGACTAATAGGTCTCGTGATAATGCCACTAGGCCATCGCCTCCCTCCCTGAGACTTACTCAGCTCTAAATCACATTGGCTGACATAACGGTGCTGGTACACCTTCTGGTATTATTTCTTTGCTGTTGCTGCCTACCTTCTTGTTGTTGTAGAAGCAGTCGAGATCCTCCAAAGGCTGACCAATGAGCTCTGCTGGGACATCGCCGTAGATGAGTGGCAGCTGCTTGCCTGCTTCCAGGTCGACGTGAGGACTGGGCTTTTCCTCCTCACTCTCCTCTTTGTGATCTTTCCTCGCGCTGTTTGCCTGTTCCTCAGCGATCCGCCTCTCAATAGCAGCCAGGGATTCGCGAGTGAACCGACGCAAGCAGTGCGGACCTGACGGTACGAGCAGGAGCGCCATCTTTTCATCCTGCAGCTTCTTGACTAGTGTTTACTCCGCAGTAATGGAAATGATTGGCTGCACAAAGCTAAGGTAAGCAGGAAAAGAGTAAGTATCAGCAAACAAGGAAAGGCAATCGTGCAGTGTGCAACAATCCAAATGGAGGTGGAGATCATGCATTGCATGAAGACCATATTGTGCTGAGGTTAGAATCTTTACCTCCCACCCTCACTCCATCCCATATCGGAGATGCTTGGACATGGAAATGTGGGTTTTCAACAAACTTTTCACCAATCAGGACAGGACTTATACACTTAATGGTAAGGTCCTGGGGACTGTTGCTGAACAAAGAGACCTTGGAGGGCAGGCTCATAGTTCCACGAAAGTGGGGTGACAGGTAGATAGCTTAGTGAGGAAGGTACACTTGCCTTTATTGGTCGGTGCATTCGGTATAGGAGTTGGGAGCTCATGTTGTGGCTATACAGGACACTAGATAGGCCACTTTTGGAATACTGAGTTCAATTCCGGTCTCCCTGCTATAGGAAGAATGTTGTTAACTTGAAAGGGTTCAGAAAAAAAATTTACAAGAATGTTGCCAGGGTTAGAGCTACTGGGAGAGGCTGAATAAGCTGGAGCTATTTTCCCTGGAGCGTCACAAGCTGACAGGTGACCTTACAGAAGTTTATAAAGTCATAAGGGACATAGATAAGGTGAATAGTCAAGGTCTTTTTCCCAGGGTAGGGGAGTTCTGAAACCAGAGGGCACAGTTTTAAGGTGAGAGGGGAAAGATTTAAAAGGGACCTAAGGGGTAACTTTTTCACGCAGATGGTGGTGTGTGTATGGAACAAGCTGCCAGAGGAAGTGATGGAGGTTGGTACATTTACAACATTTAAAAGGCATCTGGATGGGCATATGAATAGGAAGAGGTTAGAGGGATATCGGCCAAATGCTGGCAATGGGACTAGATTAATTTAGGATATCTGATTGGCATGGACGAGTTAGACAGAAGGGTCAGTTTCCATGCTGTATGAGTCTATGAATCTATAGTGCTAGTCCAGATTGGGCTATATTCCCATGGGCAGGGTTTGAGGTGAAAGGGTATAAGTTTTCCAATAGTCAAATAAAGCATGTGTCAGACCCATGAGCTTGAATCCAAATGGAATGTTCTAGGCAGCCTGGGGCACACACGTCCCACGAAAGGGGAAGAAAACAAAACCTGAACTCATCAAAAAGAAAGCAAGTCTTTTTTAAAGCAAACGGTACACGTTGTGCATGACGAGCGATGTGGTGAAAATGGGGCAGCTCTCTTTCTTCACCAATGCATCATAAAAGGTAGCCAGCACAACATTTATTCTTGAGCGCAGTGGACGGAATGCTGTGGAGGTGGAGGTGGTTTAAGGTGCAGGGGTATGTAGGTGGAGTATTGGCCAAATGGATGGTTAAGGAAGGATCTCCAACACTGACCCTGCCCTTTCACAAGGCAGGTTCCCATGGAAACCAGCAACCTATTCGGTGGAGGATGGGCAGCCCATTAACACAATTGGTTCCCCATCTAGGCCCAGTTTCAGCTGGTGCCATCATTTTCTGAACACCTTCAGACCAGTTCCCGCGCTGAGGCCGCATGCCAGCAGCATAGGATAGTACACTCATTGAATCATACAGCATGGAAAAAGACCCTTCGGTCCAACCAGTCCATGCCAACCATAAGCCCAAACTAAACTGGTCCCACCTGCCCGTGCTTGGTCCATATCCCTCCAACCCTTTCCTATTCATGTATTATCCAAATGTCTTTTAAACGTTGTAATTGTACCTGCATCCACCATTTCCTTTGGCAGTTCATTCCACACACGAGCCATTCTGACTGTAAAAATGTTGGCCTCATGTCTCTTTTAAATATTTCTCCTCTCACCTTAAAAAATGCCCTCTCATTTTGAACTCCCCCACTCTAGGAAAAAGACTTTTGTCATTCGCCTTATCTATGCCCCTCATGATTTTATAAGCCTCAATAAGGTCACTCCTCACCCCCTACACTCCAGTGAAAAAAGTCCCAGCCTATCTAGTCTATTTTTATATCTCGAACCCTCAATTCCCAGCAACATCGTGGTAAATCTTTTCTGAACCCTCTCCAGTTTAATAATATTCTTCCTATAACAGGGCGACCAGAACTGCACACAGTGCTCCAGAAGAGACCTCACCAACCTCAACCTGACATCCCAACTCCTCTCCTCAAAGGTTTGAGCAATGAAGGTATGCTGCTAAACACCTTCTCAACCACCCTGTCTACCTGTGATGCAAATTTCAAAGAATTATGTGCCTGAATCCCTATATCTCTCTGTTCTACAATACTAGTGTCCAACTAAAGGCCCCACAGTGTCTCACCTCATTGGCACAATGAATGAAGCACAACTAGAAAAAGTACTTCAATGTCAGGCCCATGATTCATATATAAATATCATCTATTTTAAAATTTGGATTTTGAACTGGTGGCATGTGGACACTTGCTCTATGTGCGTGATGGAATTTAATGATTTGTCAGAATTCCTGAAGGCATGATTTGTTTTTTTAAGTAAGTATGAACAAGGAACCTTAGGGTGATAATGGGAATTTGTTTGCATTGGAAGAGTTTGATGAGAGTACAGGGTGAGGAGCATTAGCTTGCTTTCTGTTTAGAAGGATCAGGACCTTTATTTTTGCTTAGCCGACAATCCAACAGCTTGGATAGCTTTTGTGTTCAGTTTGTAGAAGCCCTGGTTGAAGTTGCATGTATGAATGGTGCTAGTTTAGAACTGTTGGGAAATAGGTTACCTCAATGAACGGATTTTAGTTTGAAAGCTCCAGACCAGTTGGATTTAGTTTGAATCCTGAAGGGGTTTTTTGAAGCTGAGAAGGTTTAAGCTCAGTTGGATGATATATCAAAGACGAGGCTATCAAACTCTTGACACCGGGACTTGAAAGAAACAGTTCAGTTAAACCTATAGATGTGAAGATAGAGAAGCAAGTTCTCTCTGGTAGTTGAGGTGAGGTGGACTGAGATGAGGAGGAACTTCTTGGGGCAGAGGTTGTGATTCTGTGACACTCATTGCCACAGAGGGCTGGGGAGGCCAAGTCATTGGGTATATTTAAGACAGACAAACATAGGTTCTTGATTAGTAAGGGGATCAAGGTAACAGAAGGCAGGGGAATGGGGTTGAGAAACGTATTAGCCATGGTCAAATGGTGGAACGGACTTGATGGGCCAAATGGCCCCATTCTGCTCCTATATCTTCTGGTCTATCTTATGGTCGAGCACTGTAACATGACTGTGTTGGGATAGATAGGATTGTATTTTTGTTGCGTGCTTTGGAACTCTTTCAAATTGTGTGTGAGGTAAATAGCTTGACTTATTTCATTTTATGTTCTTTTATTCGAGTAATAGACTTTTCTTTGGTAAAACCAGATGTGCAGCATTGTGTGCTTGGATTTCAATGAGATGTGATCTAGTTAAAGCAAGAGAAAACAAGATATGATCTATCAAGCTGGATTTCAGTCTGGGATTTGACTTGTCCAGTAATAGCACCAGCTGGGATCATAACAGGATGCAGGCAGACGGTCAAAGCAGTCACTCTGGAGGGGCATCTCCTCCAAACCGATGAACCTACAACAAATGTGGGAGTCTTTATCTTTAAATTTATTTTTGACAGCCCTTCCATTTTGGGACGCTTTCACGCTCACCCTCCTTCCTCAGCAGTGTTCATCGATGAGGCATCCCATTGGGCCGTGCTGCCCATTGGATGGCAGTAACGGAAGTGGCCAATGGGGAGGCTGCCTCGTATAAAGCTACAGGAGAAGGCCCCTGATGGCAGGAGTGGGCTTAGGGCCCACACGCTGTCCTGAGATTCAGCCCAAAGACTGAACGCTGATGATGTTCATTCATAAAACACCAACACCATCTTATTGACAAAGGAGGCAGTGCGCAAGAGACAAGTTAGATTCAGGAGGAACGTGGGGAAGGGTTCAAAATAGCCTCGAGCCAGGTTTGGAAAGAAGGCTCCGTGACAAAGTGGTTTTAGGAGCCCTTCCAAAGACATGTGGTCTGAAAGGCCAATCTTCACAATATGCCAGAGAGTGAAGCCAAGTGGTAATAGGGAGGTAGGGAAGAGAGAACGTGGGTATGGAAGGTCACAACAGCTACGGAACATTTCTCAGGTACGATGAATTACTAAAAAAAAGACTTGCATTTAGCAAACACCTTTCATGCCCTCAGAGCATCCTAAAGTGTTCTACAGCCGATGAGGAACTTTTTGAAGATGGGACAGGAACCAGCCAAATGTGTGCACAGCAAGCTCCCACAGACATTAGTTTTATTTAATTCTCGGTTGAGGGTTCAGTATAGCTCAGAGTACTAGAGCGAGAAACCTCCATATTATTTTGAAAAAGTATCATGTCGTCTTTTACAGCCATCTGAAAGGACTCAGTTAAAGTCCCAAATAAAGGAATCGGTGCCTCCAACAGTGCAGCACTCCCTCAGTGCCATACTTGGGAGTGTTAGCTAAGAAAATCATACCCACAAACTTCTGACCTTTAGGCACAATCAACTCTGTCACAATGGCCTGTAAGAGTCTTTGGGAAGCACACAATTGAAAAATCATACTTCAAGTTCATGGTTATACAGAAAAAGAAATAAAACATTCAGTTCATTGTGTCTTTCGTAATGAAATAGTATTGAAAAGGGACTGCAAGTGGTGAGAGTCCTTCTTTGAACATTCTCAGAGCTGGCTTTTAACAGCACAAAAACAGAAATCGTTGGGGAAACCCAGCAGGTCTGACAGCATCTGTGGAAATGAAACAGAGTTAATATTTTGAGTACAGTGACCCTTCTTCAGTCACTGGACCTAAAACGTTAACTATTTTTCTCTCTCCACAGATGCTGTCAGACCTGCTGTGTTTCTCCAGCAATTTCTGTTTGTGTTTCAGATTTCCAGCATCCACAGTTCTTTGTTTTAGTTTACTGGCAATTACTGACATGTGCTGCATTAAATTCT